CAGAGCCAGAGTGCTCATGATGATGAAGCCCCAAGGAATGGGTCAAAGCCTGCAAAAGATGTCAGATGGAGGCTCAAGGTAACCTCCTCACCTGGATTTAAAGAAGCAGTGTAATTTTCCTTTTAGTAAGTAACCATGACACACATTTGGGTTGAAGATACCATAAATGTATAATTTCATCTGCTTGACATAAGTTCTTAGACTAATTTTAGGATTCCCTTGTAACCTTCTCAGGAAATATGTGCCTCTACAATTATAAATAGTCAAATATCCTATGCCAATTTATTTATATAGGCTTACTTTAAACTCTATTTCAATTAACAAATTTATTTTGAATCTTAATACAATTATTTTTATTTTGTACAATTAGTTTTTAAAATTTTTTTCTTACTGGATATAAAAATATATTTTCATACTTTTAAGTACAGTTATGAGAAACTAGCCTAATTTCTATTTGCTTGGTTTAATTTTTCTCCCAAAAGGTGATAATGTAATGCGTTTAGGCAGCTTCATTGGCTTTTCTATCTTTTAAAAGATTTCCCATTTATTATTTTAAAAGTTTGAAAACACAAGATTACTTTGAGCATTAGTATGCTTTAAAAAATCCACAGGACATCTAGAATAATAAATATGTGAAGCCAATAATGACTTTTTTATGCTTTAATTTTAAAAACCTTCAAATATATCTGTCTTTAATTTCAATTTAAAAATTAATATTTAATTTTCTCAAAATTATGGAAATATTTAATTACACTAGTCTATTTCACAAATATAAAAACTGACTAGGTAAAGCAGTTATTAAAAAAAATTAATTTATCTTAATGTACTTAATCCCAGAATACATGCATCATATATGCAATAAATATTCTATACATATATTTGTCAACTCAAATTGCATTGATTTTAATGAATGACCACAGTTCAACCAATGGGAAACAGAATCAAATTGTACCTGGCTACTATGCAATGGGCAAGTATTTGTATCTGCTGATTTAGCAAGGGCTTTAGTTCAGGAAGTTCATGTCTTCCTACTACTGCCCTAACTAGTTGAGACAGAATTAGCACTAGCTAAGACGTCTGTGTGCTGCCTGGAGGGGTTTGTTGAGGGTAAGAGTCTGAAGAGAGAGATTAAAGAGTCCTTATCCTCCTAAAGTGCTGAGCATCCAGGATTAGAGCTCTGGGTCAGAGAAATCCACCTGAATGCAAACCTAAGCACCATTGTGCTCCCCTACTTTGGGATTACTAGACACACTCTGCCTTAAAACTTATATCCCAGTCTGCACTTTTACTCAAGAGCATTTCATCTGCTATGGTAAAGTAACCTAGATCACAAATTTGTCTATGCATGTCAAAATAACAGAGAATACCCTGAGAACGTGAAAGTGAATATTTGAAGACTCACTAGTTGATCATGTGATTTAACACCTCTAAAATGATAGTTTAGGAGCATTATATAGATTTGGAATTTCAGCTATCTACCTGGGGCTGATGAAGGGACCAATCTGGTCACTTTCAGAACATTTCCTTGAAAGTGTTTTGGCTACATTTGTTTTAAAACATAATTTGGTTTAGAGCCGTTTAACTATTCTGCATAATGTTATGATGGTGGATATATGCCACTATACTTTTCTCAAATGCACACCAAGAATAAGAGCTAATGGAAACTGTCCTTTAGATAATAAAGATGTGTGCATGTAGGTTCATTGGTGGTAACAAAATATATGCTCTGGTAAAGGGTGTTGATAGTGGGGGAGTCTGTACATGTGTGGAGGAGACGAGAACTGTGCTATCTGCTCAGTTTTGCTGTGAACCTAAAATTGCTCCTGAAATGAAATATATAATATATATAGTGTTAGGGACATAACAGGAATAACTTTAAGAAAGGAAATGCTTTCTTTTTTCAGAGAAATATGGAACCCAATAGATATTCTAGTGATAAGCAAATACCTACTTTTTCACTAGTACAAGGATGAATAGAAACTGGGAAGCCGAGTGGAGCTCAGAACTGTAACATGCAGGTATTACAGAAAGCAGTGACTTGTTGTCCTCCCCAGAGACTTCCATGATGCAAGGACTTTTCCATAGACATTGGGAATTGTTTGCATTGTAGGTTAAAAAAAAATAGGTGGGCCAGTGAAGTAACAATAAGCCAACACATTAGAAGCATAAAAAATTTTTATAGTTTACATTCAACACTTCTGGCATTGCAAAAAAAAAAAAAGAAGGAAAGATGGACCTGAGGACCATGGGATCAAGAATAGATAAGGGGCTGGGAAGGTAGCTCAGTGGTAGAGTGCTTTTCTCAGAGCCTTCCCACAAAAAGAGAACAGATGTGGTACCAAGGACAGTTATAGTGGTAAATTATGTAAGAATTGTTTCTGATGCTTCCTTTCCCATTGATCTGATAGTGTTAAGTTCTCCACTTTTCACCAACTTTGTGATTTATAGTAAAAAAGAAAGAAAGAAAGAAACCCCTGTGTGCTCTTGCAGCCAATGGACCCTACAGATCCTTGTAGAAATATTCCTATGCCTGATGGATCTGGCACTGTGGAAGAAAGGCATTTGTGGTTACCTGGTGGGACGACATTACAAGGTAATCCTGTTCCCTTGACAACACTAGACACTCTTGCTGCCCTTCCTTACATCTCCCTGGACCTCTTCTGAATTCATCTGCCACCATGGAGGTCATTTCCCCTGCATCTCTCTGCTTCTCGGTCTGAAGGTTTTGTCTCACATCATAGGAGCTTGTTGGGTCTAATTTAAGCACAATCCAGACCCGTTGGAAAACTATTCCCTCAACCAATGGCCAACTGAAATCACTGGGTACGTGGCCACCTTTCTGTCTTTTGGGGACAATTCTGAGATATTTACCACAAAGTTTTCTTAGAGAATCCCAGTAGGGTTGAACCCCAGTTCCCACAGTGGTAACCCACACACTGACTCATCCTTTATTGACTTTTTACTTCCTGGTCTCACTTCCTTACTCTCCTGAACTTCCTCCAATTGCCTCCTAAATATACCATCTGCACTAAACTCCTTGTCTCAGGGCCTGCTTTAGGGATTTCAAAGTACCTTTGCTTTTAGTGATTCAACTCCCTATATTTTCCCAAGGGTGACATGCTGAGGAAGAAGGGTGGTCGGCCTTTAAGCCATTCTTGCTCCTCTCCTTTTCCTTCCTCCTTCCCCCGATTTGTCTCAGACATCACATCAAATAAAAGATGAGCACTGTATTTTTTTAATATTTAATTTTTAATTGTAGTTGGACACAATACCTTTATTTTATTCATTTTTATGTGGTGCTCATAATTGAACTTAGGGCCTTGCAGGTGCTAGGCAAGCGCTCTACCACTGAGCCACAACCCCAGCTTCTCATGCATCAATTTTATAACTTCAAAAAGTCTATATCACTTAAGGATAAGTTTAAACTTCTGCCAGAGACCATCAAAGCAATACCTTTACTTAGCTATCTATCTATCTATCTATTTATTTATTTTTAATTTGGTGCTGAGGATCAAACCCAGTGCCTCACACGTCGTGCTAGGTGAACCTTCTACCACTGAGCTGCAATCCCAGTCCTCAGATATTTTTATTCTAACCTCGACTATACCATGCCTAAACTCCCTAAGGCCACAATCAGAGAAGAAATCATACTGATATCCCAGAGGTTCAGTGATAAAAATAAATTAAAAAAAAAAAAAAGAGCTATGTGCAGTGACCGATGCCTGCAATCCCAGACTTGGGAGTCTGAGGCAGGAGGATCACAAGTTCAAGGCCACCCTCAGCAATTTAGCAGAACCCTGTCTCAAAATAAAAATAAAAAGGTCTGGGGATAGAGCTCAGTGAAAAATCACCCCTGGATTCAATCCCTATAATGATGATGATGATGATGATGATGATGGCCAAAGCCAATGTTAGGTGACATATGGACTTGAATTTTCAATTTTATCAGTAGAGATAGATCTGAAAAAGAAGCTAAAGAAGGGATTGCATATTTAAATGCTATTATTTTTAGATTTGGAACCATGTGAATAAATGAGCTATATTAAAAATTAAATCAAATAGACACACAAGAAAAGAAAATAGGAAAGAAAGATCACTACAATGGAAAACATTTTCTTCCTGACTTCCTTTCCTTACATATAGTTGTAGATATTTCAGATTTTTTTTAAGTGACAATTAAGAATAGAGGAGGTGGCCGGATGCAGTGATGCATGCCTGTAATCCCAGCAGCTCGGAAGGCTGAGGCAGGAGGATTGTGAGTTTAAAGCCAGCCTCAGCAAAAGCAAGTTGCTAAGCAACTCAGTGAGATCCTGTCTCTAAATAAAATACAAAATAGGGCTGGGTATGTGGCTCAATGTCTGAGTGCCCCTCAGTTCAATCTCTACTACCCACCTCCCCCCCCAAAAAAATGGAGAAGCTGGGCTGGCATTGTAGCTCAGTGATAGAGTGTTTGCCTAGCACATGTGGGGCACTGGGTTCAATCCTCAGCACTACATAAAGACAAATAAAATAAAGGTAACTAGTTTGACTAGTACTTGCTTAATACTTTAAATTATTCAAAGAATATTTTTTCTGATCACTAGGTTCTGATGATAAATTATAAGAATATTTGTGTTTATACAAGCATGTATATAATTTGGTCACTTTTTCTAATCAGTCTCACATATTCAACCAATATCTATCCTATTTAGATATATTCTTAGTCATTAAGAAGATTCTTCCAGCTAATTTTCTGTTTTAATTTTGTCAACTATCAGAATATTTTTCCAAAGATTGAACATACAGAAGAATGTTTTCATTTGGACCCGTACAAATGTAAGAATCAAAACAAGTTGTAAGAAAGGAAGTTGGTATTCCTGGAATCTTGCAAGACTGGTTTAATTTGATTATTGCTTCTAGTATGTTATGCCATTACCTGGATGGCAAGAAACTCCAAAGGCATATTTACAAAACAGTTCTACAGTTGTCTCCCAGGGCTTTCTGTAAAGGGTAACCAAAAGCTTGATGTAGCCAGTCTTCCCAAATATTGTGAAAAAAACAAATGATTTTCACTGTGTTCAAGAAGAATTCACAAAAAGTAGAGTTCTTTGTTAACATACTTATTTGGTTCTTTTTAGAACTCCATCAGAGTCAAGAGCTACTGATGTCAAATCCCGTGATGGCTGTGAACCCCATACTGACAGCATCGGGGCAGCAGAGGATTCCACTTGTTCCCACGCCATTTGGACCTCCAATTGTGGATAGGTATGTCTCTAATATAATAGTCCAGTAAAATGATAGTAGAGTTCATCATTAACCTTTAGAATGATGTTAACGCCAGTGACATTCTATTATCTCAGTGAGCTATGCTGCGATAACTCAAGTCAAGATGCTTGTCTCCCCTCAGGATATCTGCTACCACTTGCCCTTCTAGGCCTGCTTGACCTAATTGCTCAGCAGGCAAAATAACTAGCCAGCAATTACAAGCCTCATTCAGATGCAAACATTGGTGTGTTAGTCTTCCAGGGCTGTCATAATAAAGTATCAGGCTGGATGCTTAAATAATGAAAATTCATTTCTCTAGTTCCAGAGGCCAAAAGTCCAAGATCAAGGTGCTACCCAATGGGTTTCCAGTGAGGCCTCTTCCTGATGTTTAGACTCCTTGAAGACACACTGTGTCATCTAATGACCTTTATTTTCTGTGTAAATGCAGAGAGAATTCTGGATTCTCTTCCTCTTCACTGGTCCTATCAGATTAGGCCCCACACTTATGCTTCTTTAACCTCAATTGCCTCCTTAAAGGCTTAATCTCCAAATGTAGTAATACTGGAGGTTAATACTTCAAAATGTGAATTTAGGGAGAAACAATTAAATCCATAACAATAGGGTGCCTATGATAGACAATTCTTTCTTTTCAACAAAAGTGAAATTATAAGTATTTTGGTTGTACACGCTGTCAATATTCTATCTTCCTTTCTCAAGAATGTCTTTTGATATTCTGAAAAGAAAATAAGACACATTATTTATTCTTGTCTAAGGAATGTGAACAATAAAGTTGGACTCCCAGAGACAACTGAAATTTAGGGAAAAAAAATTGTTCACCTAGATTTTTCAACATTGACTCCAGATGGCAATCACAAGCAAAATATGTCCATTAAATAAGAACAGAGTTTGTGGAAAGAACATAATGTTGGTCATAAAAAATCCACAAGTGGCATTGATTTGATAAGATATTTTTTTCTAGATGTCCCTAAAACTTTCCCTTCCTGTTTTCTCTTTTTGTCAACCTGGGTCAATCCTCCGGAACTACAGAAATGAATTTCCTTGACCTGGGTCAAGTCCTTTCTTCTAATCCTTACTGTATTTCTCCACAAACCAATAAAAATCACATGAATTTTGTACTTCAGTTTAGAAAGAGGTGATAGAATTCCATGTGGCAATTAAAAAAAAAAAATCTCCCTGCCTAAGCAATGGAAATTTGTCCAACTTCATTCTCATTTTACCTATTTTATATCTTTTGTTTTTTTCCCCTTAGAGATGTGTTGCCTCCCACTGTAGGTCCAACTGACCCAAGGCAGTTTTATGTTCCTTCCCATTTTGGATCCTCTATTCTACCCAATGCAAATATGCCAAATATGTTGTCTAATCGCATCTACTCAGGTATGAACAATCCATGTTTGGCTCTCATCTGTGGAGTCTGATAGGAAATTAAGGAGCAGTTAGAACAGTTAAAGGATTCTAATGGTGAGGTCTTGGGTTGGGGGAATAGAAATAGTAAGAAATGGTTAGATTCTATAATTATTTGGGTGGTAAAACAGGATTTTCTCAGTTTGGGTGTGGGAGGTGAAAGAGAGGTTTTACAAATGACATAAAAATTTTGTCCTGGGAATAATCCAAAAGGTGAAGTTGCTGTTTGTTGAATTGAACTTGAGGAAAATAAAGGAAAAGAGTTCTTGGGGAGAGAGAGATACCAGAGACTCAGCTTTCTCAGATTACATTTGGGATGCCTAATAGCCCCCAAGTGGAGTTGTCAGAAAGGCAGCTGAAGTCAGGGAGGACTTGTGGAGAAAATCAGGAGCCATAACCTTGAAACTCATCAGAAAATATGAGGCCAGGTAAGACCATCTATGGATGGACCATATATAGAGGAGTTCAAAGGATGATCCCTAAGACACATCAACAGAGCCCAAAGATGAGGAAGAACGAGCATGGTGGAAACAGAAGGAGCAACCAGCAAAGTAGGAGGAAACCCAGGAGCATATACTGGGGAAGAAAGTTTTGTAAGTGGAGAGTGAGCACTGTGTCAAATACGCAACTCATAGCCCAAGTGAGATGAGGACTCATTAGATTAGCACTATGTGGATGTCATCAGTGATCTTTCTTTTTGTCTTTTTTGATGGTGCCTGTACATATTGTTTTCATTTCAATCTATTAGAAAACTTTTTGCATTGTTTATGTATTGGTCCATGATGGGTTGGAAATGTATAAAGAAAATAAATTTAAAAACTGGTTATTTTCCATGGATGGCTCAGAAAAGCCCCAGGACAGACTCCTAAGTGCATTAGAGTCCAGAGAAAGGTGAAATCAACCAGGTTGCCAGGCAAGAATGGAACCTGAAACCTGGTGATGTTGCTTTTGAGGTACTTTGGAAGATTGATTTGAGTATAGGATGTATTTACTGCTCAATTCCACTTAACTCCTCATTGCATTTATTTCCTGGGATTTTGGTACATCAAGGAACATTTTTTTATAAAAGGTCAACAGAAGAAACCTATCAATTTTTCCTTCAAAATAAGAGACCAAAGTGAAGTAAACGGGAGAGATTCTGGTTAAATTGTACAAAGTTTCAATTAGATAGGAGAAATAAGTTTAGAGATATATTATACAGCATGGTAGCTATAGTTAATAACAAGTACTATATACTTGAAAATTGCTAAAAGATTTAAATGTTCTTTTCACCAAAATAATAATAACAATAATAAACAAATAAAGTGATTGTATGTTAATTCACTTCTACAAGGAGTACACATATCAAAATATTACATTGTACCACTAAATATATTCAGTTAAATAAGAAAAGATAGATCAAAGATTCACAGTTTACCTCTTTCATTTGCAATATGGCAGGAAAATGTCATCTACAATAACAATTAAAGAAAAGAACCAAAATTTATTTTATATTTATCATTCGGTCACTAAAGATGATCTTAGATAGTGAACATCAGTGATCCAATATGATTTCCAAATTGTGTTCAACTGGTGGGTTGTTTTTTGCAGACATTGTTTTCAATCATTATATTTTATTATTTTCAAATGTGTGCTTTTCATTTGTTTGTGGGATGGAATGGTGGTTTTCTTTTTTTAAGGTTGGGGCTTTTTGCCACCTGAGTCCATAAGGGCAGTGAGCCGAAGAAACGAAATGATTCGAAGGCCTCATGCTGCCAGGTAACTTAACAATGTTGTTGTATTTATTTTCTATTCATTCACTTGTCCATTTATAAATGAATATATATGACAATGGACACACACTCACACAAACATACACACACCCTGATGACTTACAGAAAAGATTACAAAAAGAAAATATACTAACACGTATACAGCTTTGTTAACAATAAATTCAAGATTAAAAACCACATAGTGAAGCTGACAGTTCTATACATTGTGATAGTCTGTCAGTGTTCCATAATTAATGCATAGCCGTGATGCCTCTGAAGTTCATATTGGCATTTCTGTCTTAAATTATTTTAGTGTTGCTGGAGGGTAGGAGCCAAGTTTGCCAACCCACTTCAGACATTGTCAAAGCCCAGACAACCTGACATCAGTTCAACAGTGGCCTTCAACTGTAGTGACAGGCAGAAAATAAGGCAGAACAATATAGCTAGGGTATGACCACAGGGTGAGAGAAGGCGTTGAGTCAATTTCCTCATCACTGAACACTGAGGAGTCCAGGTGACCACCAATAAGAAAGTGAAGTAAGCCAAACTACCAGCAAGTCCTCCTTTCCCACTTGCCCCAGTCACTTGCCTTGATTGATAACCATTGAGACTTGCATTAACTCATTGAGTCCCACTGGGAAGGCAAAGGGCCATCAAAATTATATTTCTAATGTTTTTTTTTTTTTTTTGGTTGTATAAAATATATTGTTTTGTTTTTAGGGCAGAAATGGAAATGTATTCTAATTACCAGCAAAGGAAATTGGAAAAATTTAACCCAAAGGGACTAGGTGGCTTAGAGATGCCATTCCTCTATGGTTCCAGTGTCCCACCTTGCCCAGCCATCTACCAAGGCCAGAGCATGCTCCCAGCCAGTGACCTGCATTTTCACAGAAGTACCCTCAGAAACCTTCGGGGAAACCCTATTCTGGTAGCAACCGGACCACACTTTATAGAAAGCTGGGGGCAGAAATATTATCGACTCAGGAGGGGTTCAGGGAATCAGAAACCTCTTAACAGTGACTCTGAGAGTTCCAAAAGTCGAGGAGAAGAAAAAGCCCTACACCAGACACATGCAATTCCACACGAAGAGGATGAGCATGAAACAGACCCAGAAACTGAAATATGCAACAATCAGAAGTCAAGCAAAACCAGTGACAAACCAACTACAGCTGTCACCAACCCCTGTGGAGCACTCCAGCCCTCTAATGGAAAACCCCAAGGAGCTCATGCTGCTCCCCTGGAGGTGAAGACCTGGGGTGGTGGGAAGCAGAAGGCTTCAGAGCCAGGTGTTGAAGCCTGTGATGGTGAAACAAACAGAGTTTGCCCTCCAGTTCCTCCACTGTCTCTGCCAGGTGGGTGTCCAGGGGCCAAGGGCAGATCCTCACTAAAAGCAGGTTGTCAAGTCCTGACCTTATTACACAGGGAACTGCAACAATTATGCCTCTCTTTATCCTTCTTTTTTTCAATCCTGTTTGGAACAAACCTCTTTTGGGGGGTTACTAGGAATTAAACCCAGGGACTCTTTACCATTGAGCCACATGTCCAGTCCTTTTCTTTTCTTTTCTTTTTTTTTATTTTGAGACAAAGTCTCGACAAGTTGCTGAGTCTGGCCTTGAACTTGTGATCCTTTTGCCTCAATCTCCTGGGTCTGGGAATATGGGCCATACCCTGCTTAGAATAACAACTTCTTCTTCTTTTTCTTTTTCTTTTTTTTTTCTGGTGAATGATTTCTTTTATTTTTAACATCTTTATAATTATACATAATAGTTGGTTTCATCCCAACAAACTCATACGTGCATGAAATTCGATTTCAGTTCATGAGTCTCCCTTTTCTCTCCCCATTTCCCTCCCATCTAGAATGACCTCTTTTTGAAGTCACTTTATTATATTGGTTCTAATAAGCCATATCAATGACACTAGTCTTTATTTATATGTTGAAAAATAGAGAACTTTCAACAAAGTCTGAGGAAGTATGAGGAACTTACCAGAATTTTAAATTAAAAATTTAATTTAACTTACTGTTAATTTCTTCAACACAAAGCAGACAGGCTTTTTGCTTTTCAGTATGAATTCTATCTCTTCTATATTAAGTGTAGAAAAAAAAAAGGCAGTTAAAAAGAAACAACTTTTCAGGGTCTATCACTGTTGTGATACCTTCTAACCTGAATGTATAAACACCATTGCCAAAACTATGCAGTGAATAGTTTCTGGAACTTTTTTAGAAAAAAAAAATTTTTTTTTAAACACAGGGATTCTGGGGTGTATGAAATCTAGCCACCATACTAACTGCTTTTCTCCAAAGAGTTAGCTTGCCATTTTGATGAAGATGTAGCTAAATTCTTAGCAGAGAGCATGATGATCAGAATATCACAGAACATGGTGGCATTAATCTGGAGAGAGCTTTCTGTTGGAATCTGGGAGCAGATGGAATAAATCTTTGTTTGCTTACAATACTGTTGTCACTAAGCATCCTTTCAGAGGAGGAAAAGAAAGGCAGAGTCAGAACATTTCCCAGTGACTCTGAATATCTTTTAAAGAGATTACAAAATTGGCTCATGTAAACAGAGCGTGTTCTGTCACTCTGAGAGAAATTCATGTAACTCTACAGAAACCCGTGCTCCAAGCTTCCTCTTTTTCCTAGAAATTCCATGCCACAAAATAATTGCCTTTCCATCTTAAAGGAACACATGCACTGGTTACAGTTGGGGAAAATCTTTCTTTGGATGAAGATATTCAGAAATGGACCTTGGATGATGTACACAACTTCATTAGAAGCCTTCCAGGTTGTTCAGACTGTGCTCAGGTGACTCAATATTTAAGTATTTTCATAAAATTACAACAATTTGAAATTTATTTCCAGCATAATAGTTTTGTCAAATTTGCCTCTTGCCCCCAGAAAGGATTCCTATTAACCCTCCCCCACCCCCCCTTTTTTTTTTTTTTGCAGGAGGTAGGGTACTAGGGATTGAACTCAAGGGCACTTGACTTTTTTATGTGGTTGTCTTTTCTGGGACAGGTGTTTCTGATGGGTGTATGTGGTTCACATGCCACACCCAAAGCCAAGGGAGGCTTCAGCATAGATCCCAGAAAGACTCCTGAGAAATGGAAATACTCCCAAAACTAGAAGGAGATTCAGAGACTAAACATTCAAAAGCAATGGGAAATTATGCTACATTCCTTGCTCATGCATATAGCAAACATTTTTGGAGTACATGCTTCTATATCAAAAGTTTTAGGGTGGGGCTGGGGCTTTAGCTCAGTGGTAGAGCACTAGCTTAGCATGTGTGAGGCACTGGGTTCATTTCTCAGGACCACATATGGATAAGTAAATAAAGGCCCCAATCAACAACTAAAAAATAAGTAAATAAATAAATAAGTTTTAGGCTACTCATCCTAAATAAAAGAAAGCTATACTTCATTCTGAAAAGGACAAGGAAACAATAGATCTGAAAAGTAGAAACTTAACTGTATCTATCTATTTATTTAGTGGGATTAAACCCAGGGCCTCCTACATACTAGACAAGCACTCTATCTTGAGTGACATACCCAGCTCCTTAACTATTTTTAAATTCTACATTTATACTGGGATAATATGTAAAAATGCACATGCATAATTCCATCTGGTATATAAATGCTATTTTTAAAATTATAATGAACTGTCAAGACAAATGGAAAGAAAATTAGCCACATTTTTGTGGGAAAATTGGTGACAAAAATCATGGGTTGTCAGTTTTGAAATTTATGTCACTGCTACTTTTTATGCATATAGTTTACTTTTTTGAGTGATTTAATAACAATTATAAGCAACAAAGTATCTACTAAATCTGATATCATTATCTTTGGTTTACATATTTAAAAAATAAGGCAAGAAGGGGATTTGGGGGTAGGAAGGATAGTAGAATGAATCAGACTATTACCCTATGTACATATGTAACTATACTACCAGGGGGATTCTACCTCATGTATATAATGAGAAATTTTACTTCATTATATATGACGTATCAAAGTGCATGCTACTAACATGTGTAACTAGAACAAATTAAAAAAAAATTAAAGAAGGCAAGAAAAGGACATTAAAGGTTAACAATATCATAATCTACTGATGCTAGAAAAAAATTTTTTAGAACTCTGTTTTGTAAAATGTTTTCCACAGTGTAATGCTGTTAATTCTTTTTCTTTTCCTTTTTTTAAAAAATTCTGTTCATAGGACTTATGGAAAAGCCATAGTAATTAAGAGTAAGGCTTCTGAAGCCAGAAAGTACAAATTCAAATTCTGGCTTTTCTATTTTTTGAATGTGTGACTTAAAACAAGTTTCCTCTTTTCTCTGTGCCTTTCACCTACAAAATGAGGATAATAGTAATAAGACATTTTCAAAGGATTGCTATGAACATTAAAGAGTACCTTGTACATTTTGAGTACTTGATAAATGCTAATTTCATCATTTGCATAACATTAAATTTTTTCCCCTATATCCTCCTGCTCATTGGGTATAACCTTATTTTATTATTAGTCACTAGTCACAGGTAAATCACTTTTAAGATTTATATCTACCATTTATCAAGTGCCACAACAACCACAGGCACAATGAACTTATTAAATTCTGATAGCAGCCAGAAATAAACAATCCTTTGTATATAATAAGCATGTGATTGCTGATTTTGGTGGATTAAAAATTTGTGGAACTTTGATTATTCTTAATCAGTCAGCCATCCATAGTTATTAAAGTTTATTATAAAGAGTATAATAAACTGCTCTTGCAATAATAATCCCAAGTGTCCCTTTGTGGGTAATACACAGAAGTCACCTAAACATGAGTACCCCAAACATTGCTGACTCACTATCTTTCAGAAATAGGATGTCAGTGCCTTCAAGAAGAAATGATATCAATTATTTCTAAATGCTTCTCAAATGTCTTAGGGGTAAAAACACATTTTAATGTCTTCCCCTCCAAGCTACTGCAGATGACATCAACCAAAAGACTGGGCTGCTCTGTGGTGTGCTTTTCTTGTTATGCTCAGGGAAATTCCTCTGCACAGAAATGGGGAGACCTCCCTGATTCAGCCCAGTGCATTTTGGGTGCAACAGCCTTGATGCAGCACCGCTTGTGCACAGCTTCCTTGTCAAAAATGTCCTGTCAACTTTTACTCCAGCCCATCTCCTTTTTTAGTGGGTGGGGTACCAGGGATAGAACTCAGAGGCACTCGACCACTGAGCCACATCCCCAGGCCTAATTTGTATTTTATTTAGAGACAGCGTCTCACATAGTTGCTTAGTGCTTCATTTTTGCTGAGGCTGACTTTGAACTCACAATCCTCCCTCCTTGTCTCCTGAGTTGCTGGGATTACAGGTGCCAGCCCATCTCTTTATATGAGTTGGACCATGCCCCTAGGCTAGTCAGAGCTGTACCCACTGTACTCCCCTCTGTCCTCACCTCTGCCTTAGGTGTCCATTCAGCAACCTCCAAACACCCACTTCCTTCTACTAAAGCAAGAAACTGAGGGGAAAAAAAAAGATCACAAATAAAACCCAAACCCTTGTGCAAATGAGCTCTTTTAAAGAGATGTATCCAGAGGGTTGGAGGCTCAGCTATTTAGGGACACACAGGAGAACTTGTAACTCATTTTGTTATTCTAAATAAATGTCTAATTCAAAGAATCCAGCAGATAAAAGATTTTATCCCCAAAACTAACTGAAATTACTAAAAATTGAGGCACATTTACATCATACACATGGCCCAAAATGCTGTGGTAAGGACAAAGGGTGCATATCCAAGTGACAGAGATGTGTTCTATATCTTGCCCAGGCCCCATGTATACCCACCATGGCTGAGGGTTAGGTCCGTCCTCACCTGCCAGTCCCTGGCTGCCAACCTCCCTCCCTTTGAAAGGGTATTCATGTGTTTTCTCCTTCTTTGGATGTTCACAAACACCCACTTCAACACTCACTGGAATCACTACAAAGGAAGTAGAAATGAGATGAGATTTCCACCATAAATAGAATCAACTATTTTCATCTGCACTCCGTCTTCTGCATGGCAGTGAGATCCAGCAGGGGAAACCCTGGATCAGAATCATGAACAATATGTAACTTAACAAGTTTTCTTACTGTGTGTGTTGAATAACTCAACCATTTCTACATGGATTCTTTGTTTATAAAAAAAAAACAACTAACAATGATAATAATGCCTAGTGTGATATCCACTGTGATAGACACATAACTTACATCCTCTTTTAAATAAAATTTTATATCATAATTCTGCCCCCCCCCAAAAAAGATATTACCTTTATTTTGCAGCTGACTAAAACTAAGCATCAAGTTGACTAAATTGGAAAATACATATGTGACTACAAATCTGTCCCTTTCTATTATAACCCGAATTACAGTAAGGTTATTGAGTAAGGTTATAATAACCTTACTTTACCACTTACAATAAGATTATTGAGCTTCCAACCAAGGATCTCTGGTCTCCTAGAAAGTCTCTAGGGTGGCAAAAGAGGCATATTGCTTTTGATATTTCAAAGAGATATTTCTAAGAAAATTATAATTCCTCCAATATAAGGCTATACAGACTAACCCAGACTGTCAACATTTTTAATTTGGCTCAAATTAAATTAATTCATATTAGCCTATTTGTTATTTGCTTAATTGAAATAGGAAAAGAACTAATTACTTATTACACTTTGTAAATGACTCAACCGAAACACAAGATCCTGGTCTTAGCTTTCCAAGAAATTTCTATTTTCCAGCTGGTCCCAAGGCATGCCCTTCAAGGCCTGGGACCACATAAGGAAACATGCACATGTGATTCCTCTTCTGATGGAGCTCAAAGTCCAGAGGAGGACACCAGTTAGGGATCCCACATCAACAGAAGTGTGCTACAAGAGAGGATATGAAGTGGAGTAGGAGCACACGGGAGGAAATCATGGCCCCCTAAAGGAAGTGGCCTCTGAAGTGAGATGTGAAGGTCAGAAGGGAGGGGAGGCAGAAGGGAGGGAATAAGGAGCTTCCCAGTGAGGGCCAGAGCCAGAGAGAACTTAACATACTTGGATTTTGAGAATAGTTCGCAGTAGCATAAAGGGCCAAGGCCAACGTGGAAGAAATGAGAACAGCAAGACAGGATCCTAAAGAGAAAGAAGGGGCCAGGTCACAAGGAGCCTTGAAGACCCCGGGAAGGACTTTGAGTTTATCCTAAAGGCAGTGGAGGTTTTAAGCAGGAGAGGCATGATTCACTTTATTCAGAAATGTCACTCAAGTTGATTTTGTGAAAATAGATTGAAGGGAGCAAGACCACAGGGCAAGATGCCTCACGTGAGCTATAAGGAGGTTAAGCCAGGGTAGGAGCAATGTGGGTGGGCAGATAAAAACACTATCTAAGAGGCAGAATTGGCAGGATTGAGCGTCTAAGTTAAACACAGATGTTAGAGAGCCTTCAGCATATAGAGATGGTCATGTTCACAAAGGAGTAGTCATCAATGTCAAAAGCATCCAGGAATTTAGCAGATACAAGAAATGAGAACTAGAAAATGTCAAGTGTTTGGTACCATAGAGGCACCAGGGAGCCTGAAAAGAGAAGGATTAATTGTATGGAAGGGAAAGAACTCAGAATCCATGAGACTGAAGAATGACAGGAATGCAGGGAAGAGCACTGAACCCCTTTTGAGAAATGCATCTATGAAGGGAAAGAGAGATGTGGGGCAGATCTAGAAATGGAGTGTGTGTGTTGTCATTATTGTTCACTTATCAATGGTGGAGACTTGCTTAGCTAATGGGAAAGAGCTAGCAGAAAAGGAAAAGTTGAAGACAAAAGAGGGAATTTTCTATTCATGTGAGGCCCCAAAGTGGAAGAGGTGAAGATCCACAGCAAATGTGGAGAAATAGTCTTTAAGTAGTAGAGCGACCTTGTTGTGGTTAGGACTTGTGGTGCTCCAAAAAAGCTCCTGTGTGAGACAATGCACAAAAAGGTTCAGAAGAGAAATTAGATTATGACAGCTGTAAACAAATCTGTGGATTAATCCACTTGAATGGATTAAATGGGTGGTACCTGTAGGCAGGTAAGGTGTGGCTAGAGGAAGTAGGTCACTGGAGGGTGTGCCTTTAGGGTTCACATTTTTTCCCTGTTGAAGGGAGCTCTCTCTGTTTCCTGTACATTTTCCTCTGCCATGCCTGGGCCCAGTGCTATGGAGTCAGCCAACCGTGGTCTGAACCTCTAAAACCAGGAGCCTAAATAAACTTTTCCTCCTCTAAGTTGTTCTTGTCAGGCGTTTTTGTCACACCAACCACAAACTCACTAAAACAGACTTGTTTTCCATTAAGTAGGATAGTGAGAGAAATATCAGTTGTTAGTTTCATTATACAGATTTAGTGGAAATTCTTATTTATTTTTTTATTGGTTTTTCTTTCATTTTGGGTACTGGGGATTGAACCCAGGGATGATTAATCACTGAGCCACATCCTCAGCCCTTTATATATTCTGTTTAGGCACGGGTCTTACTAAGTTACTGAGGCTGGCTTTGAACTCACAATCCCACCCCCTCAGCCTCCAGAGTGATCATGCCTGGCCTTTCTTTCTTTTCTTCTTTCTTTCTTTCTTTTTAAATTAGGAAGGTAAATGATCTGCTGAAAACAAAGGAGGACTCTGTAGGGTCTAAAGTTTAAGGAGGATGGAGAAGCCTTCAAAGAGAAGGCGAGAAAGCTCATGAATGAACACAAGGATTGCCAGGCAGGTTGAAGTTGGAAATCATGAAATTATGGTCCCACTAACTGATCCAGACCCATGTCTTTATTTGCCTGGAAACTTTGTCTACCAGTAGCTTTCCTAGCTTCTGGAAGAAAGAAAGGCATGGAAACATCCACTAAAGAGTTAAAATGAACAGGCCTTGCTAGAAAGGCCCAGGGTAACTGCTCTCACTTGCATTTTCAAACATTAAACAGTGGGCAAAGGACACTGCATCTGCAAATCCGGGCGGTAATGTTTGAGCTCTACCCGCATCCCTTTACTCAGGGTACTTGCCCATTTGTTGATTCATCCTACAGTGTTTATTGCACATCTTCTACCATAAACCACCCTGCATTAGGGGTACATTGATACATAGAACATCAGCCTTGTCCTCAAATAATAAGTGTTTTAGGTTGGAAATAAGTTCTATAAACAGAGAATTATAATCTATTCCAAGGATTATTAATGTGCCACTGGGACACAGGAAAGAGAGCAACTAGAAATAAGTTGGGAGCTGGGAGTGTAGGACAGTAGTATAGCACTTGCCCAGCATGTGCCCTGGGTCCAATCCCCAGCAAAGAAAGAAAAAAAAAAGGAAAGAAGAAAGAAAGTTATTTTATAAAATTTTGTGTCAGTCTCAAATAGTCTCAATGTTTCTGCCAAAACTAAAATATCTGTATACAGAGCAAGAACATTATTTTTTTAAAAGACATTTGAATAAAGCTGATGCCTTTTTGTTTAATAAGGTATTTAAAGATCATGCAATTGATGGAGAAACTTTGCCATTACTCACAGAGGAGCATCTTCGAGGTACCCTGGGATTGAAGCTAGGGCCAGCACTAAAAATTCAATCACAGGTATGATGATTTCATATAATTAAATATTTATTAATGGGGTGATGCTTGGGAGAAATTTTTTTACCTTTATTCTGTTGTAATATACAGAATATTTAACCTCTTTATTGAGCTTTCCTGTCTGTGGTGGGGACATGTTAGACGTGAAGGAACCTGAAAACATTAGGTTGGAGGAGTGGTAACACACTCCTAGGTATAACTGAGAAGGCAATAAGAAGTGGTGTGTGGTAAATGTTTGACAATTAGAACTTCTTAAAAACAAATGAACCCTGATTTGTAGCATTTGCCAATCTCTATCACATAAATCGCTCTCACCATAGTCAACAATATCATAATGACACTGAATACAGAATTGCAAACAGACCACGGCAGCACCACATTTTATTTTCATCAGATACAATAGACATATTATATCTCAGATATAATAGATATAAGTAACCTTAAGTACACAAGCAATGATAAGTAATAACATGCCCAGCTCACCAAACTTGATTTTAAGTTTTTAATATAAGTTTTAATGATGGAATGTTTAACAACTGGCTCACAAACTTCCTACAAGTTTAGTAAGTGGCTGTGGTGAGCAAGAACAAGCTGGCTCCAGCCACCACTTCTTGCCACCTCCCTGCTCCATTCTTGTCTAAAGCACCATTGTCTTTTTCTAAAGCACCAATTACTGCCTTAGCCTTCTTCTGTTCTCCCTGATTCTGCCTTTACCTACTCAAGTCCACTCACCAAACAGTAATAAGTGGTCCTTTTTATACATAAGACAGATCATGTCACTCTTCTATTCAAAACTGTGCAAGAGCTCCCCACTTCCTTCAGAGTCAAAGCCAAGGTCCCATATCAGTTGCACTGTCCCACCCACCACAACCTTGCAGATCTCACCCTCCACATCCCCGCTTCAGTGCCGCTGCTTTTGCTTACCTGCCAGCAGTTGCTCCTTAACTGCTACAGGCATGTTCATCCATGCCAGGGCTTTCCCAACAGCTGTTCCCTCTGCCCAGGATGTTCTGTCCCTGATGCCCTCATTCTTTAACCCCTACATTCATCTTTTTTCAAGCATACCTTCTCATTGAGACTTGCTCTGATTACCCTATTTAAAATGTCACACTGATCAGGCCCCATTCATGCTCCTGATATCATCTTCCTGCTGTCCTTTCCACTCATAACACTTATCACCTTCAACCATAAATGTGATCTATTTATTTGTTATATTCATTGCTTATTGTTGACTTCCCTTGCCACCATTTGAAAGGATTTGTCTGCATTGTGGACTTGTGTAACTTTAAAACATGCAACATTCATAAATAGGTCAACAATTAACTTTCAAAAGATTAAACTTCCTAAAAGGTAAGCCAAAAAGCAATAACTAATTTGTTCCAGAATTTGTTCCAGGATTCATTCAGGACCATTCCTAGTGAGCATAAATGTTTATGCCAGGAGCTAAAATTTCAGACTGTCCTTTGAAAACTATTTTTATTTGTCTAAAGTTTTTAAGGTAAGGAAATTATTTTTTTCTTAATATAAATACTTCAATATTTCCATTGATATTATTTTTTCCAATATTTTGGAATAATTTTAGAGACAGTAAAGTTGTAAAGACTGTACAGTTTATCTAGTTTTTCCCAATTTTAACATCTTATACCACATGGTACATCTGTCAAAATTAAGAAATTAACATTAATACAATATGACATTTGTTTTTAGATTATTTACTTTTCTTTAGTAAGGATCTTATATCCCTCAGCATACTTACAATGACTTCATGATTTTTTTTTCTCAAATCAAATAGTCTTTGGCTTCAACTTATCATTAATTTTTGTTAGTATACATACTTCCATGAAACACAACTGAGCTACTGCATCCCAGGCACCATCTGCCAGCATAACAAACAAGGTTCCCTCAGAACCTGGGGGGAAGGCCAAGTTGATTGACAGTTGAGATTGGGAATTGAAGTGGCAGAATTGGAAGACTCTAAGTAACATGTGGAAGATCCAGAAGGTGAACAGCCAAGAGTTCATCACTGGATAAGATAATCAGGTCTCAACATCCTAAAATGGAGACTGAAGGAAAGCCCCATGATAGCCAGTACCACCACCAAGAAGAAACGCCCCCACCACCACCACCATCAGCACAAAACCAAGAAGGCGGATCTGAACTGGCCATACAAGGAAAAGGATGGATGGAAGAAAAAAGTTACAGAAACTTGGAACAGATGTATTATTAGAATGAAGGCAGTTTTGGATCTAAGCTGAGACAGTGTGACCTGGGTTCCATCCAGGGTCAAGCTTGTAGCAAGATCAGCTGAAGCCTCATGTAGGGTCCCAGTTAGCGACATGGCACTAAGTCTCCGAGCAGCTTCATTTGTCTCACCAGTAACCAGCCAGGAGAAGGACTGGCTAGAGCTGGTGTAGACCACTGGAGACCACTGGAGAAGGTCAAGGTGGGGTACACTTGAAGTAGAGTCATGGTCAGTGCCCTTGAACCATATTAGAACCAGGAAGGGGAACTGGAAAATTAGAGCCAGGCTGACACAAAGCTTTACGGCTGAAAACACTGTATGCTTCTAAGAGAAAGAAAAAGCTCACCATAACCTAGCACTGTGACCCTGCAAACTACATATAGGTTACATGACTTAAATTACCTCAGCCTCCCTCCGTGGTTAGTGTTGGGTTATTGAATGAATTCACAGACTTAATTACTATAATTATTTTTCTTCAAAGGTATCTCAACATGTGGGAAAAATGTTCTACAAGAAAACTCTTTCACTTCCTACCCATACAAGACAAGAATTTGATCAACCAGCAGATACATCTCCTCTTTTGGATTTTAATTCATGGAGTGATTTGATGAACATTCCTTGTCCCCAGGATATAAGGATTCCTGAAAGAATTGAGCAAGACAGTTCAAGAAATTAAAAACCCTCAAAGAGCAAAGGGCAGTCTGAACCAGTTTTCCAAAGAATCTAAGATTCACCAAGGGTGTGTGAGAGCTTCCCAGGACCAGACAGAGGATGAGAGAGAGGGAGTTTCTCACGGAGCTGTCTCAGGAGGTTTTGCCAGGACTGAAGTGATACTACCTTCAAGGGGTTGGAGAATTGTCCTTGGAAGAAAAGAACAATTCTAATTGTCTCCTAATGAAGGAGAGAATTCGCAAACATGAAGAAAGCCACAGTGGGTTGTTTCTGTGAGAAAATCTCTGAATAAGCCAAAAGAGCAGAAATGAAAAAGAGAGCTCCCCATTTCCCATCCCCAAGCCCTGATAAAGACAGACTGAGAAAGGAGGTAGAAGAGGAAGGGAAAGGCTCTCTGGAGGAGCTGACCACAAGACCCCCTCCTCCTTCTTTCAGGCCTGGCTGCAAGGGGAGACATTCTACATAAAAGTTCCAAGCCTGACTTGGTATTGCTCAGGACTAGATATTTTATTTCTGAAATGAAATATTATGACTGAAAATGATTGGAGAACTCATTATCTGACAAGAAGATGAAAAGTCATAGTATTCACTTCAGATTTTATCCAAGAAGGAGGAAAGAGTTATCTCTGCAAAGCAGGTTTAAACTGGCAAGAGAGAGGGGAAGATTAAAATGGCTTCCTGCTCCTATCTGTGGAGTTTCTCTCTCCCAACATCGGGTTTGGCAGAAGGTCTCAGAAAGGTTACACAGGAAAATGATAACAATTTGCTCAAGGAGGGGACTGGAAGATAGGGGTGTGAGGAAAACTTCTTCCTCTATATCCTCTTGAACATTTTGAAATTTTAACCATGAGAATGTATTTTCTATTTTAAAAACTTACATTTAAAGGCTGGGAATATAGCTCAGTGTGTAGAACTCTTGCCTAGCATGAGAGAGTCCCTGGGTTTGGTCCCCAGTATAGCAAAAAAACAACAAAAAATTACATTTAAAATAACAGACTGTAGCAGGCAGCCTCTAAATTAGGCCCCAACAATCTCTCTTCCCGGTGATTTACTCCTCTTGAGGGTGGGCTGGACTTACTGATTTTTTCTCATCAACAGAATACAGAAAGTGTGATGGCAGGTCACTTCTGTGGCCTCAGTACTCTCTGGAACTCTCTTTGAATCACACTCTTGGGGAAACCAACTTCCATGTCTCCAGACAGCCCCCAGTGGAAAAGCCCTATGTGGTCAAACTTGGCAAAGGATCTTCTGAAACCTGCCAATGGCCACATACTGTTCAGGTAGTGAAGGTGCTCCTGAACTGTAGGCTCCAGCCTACAGCTTGACAGCAGCTCCTGAGAGGCCCAGAGCCAGAGGCTCCCAGCTAAGCCACACCCAGATTCCTGAGCTACTGAGACTGAGATGAGGAATGTGTGTCATCTTCAGCCACTAATTGTAATCTGTCACATGGCAATGGAGGACCAAAACAAACACATTTCATAACACAAAAAGCATGCTACCTACCTCACTCTTTGACTTGGAAGGCGGACTTTCTTTTTCCCCAACAACCATGCTGATTTAGTTGAATTGTGCTTGCCTTCACTTTTACAATGAAGGTAATTGTTTTGTTTTGTTCTGTTTTGTTTTCTGACATACAACTATATTATACCATCAAAGATACTTGTGAATTGCTTCTTGTTTACTCTCTTGGTTCCTTTGCTGAGGGACAGGAAAAAACGTCATCCCCTCAAATTTCAAAATTTTATTTTGTGTTAGATACTTATGATTAAATAAGTATAGATGAATAACAAGGGTTAGGAATTTTACTAAAAATAAAAGATAGCTTCTTCAACAAATGGTGCTGGGAAAATTGGAAATCCATATGTAGCAGAATGAAATTGAATTCCTATCTCTCATCCTGTGCAAAATTCAACTCAAAGTGGATCAAGGACCTGGACATTAGACCAGAGATCCTGCCGCTACTAGAAGAAAATGTAGGCCCAACTCTCCATCATGTCAGCTTCGGAACCAAATTCCTCAACAAGACTCCTAAAGCACAAGAAGTAAAATCAAGAATCAATAAATGGGATGGTGTCAAACTAAAAAGCATCTTCACAGTAAAGGAAACAATCAAGAACGTGAAGAGAGAGCCTACAGAATGAGGGAAAATCTTTGCTACCTGTAACTCAGATAGAGTTTTAATCTCCAGGATATATAAAGAACTCAAAAAACTTAACACACACACACAAAAACCACCCAAATAATATGATCGATAAATGGGCAAAGGAACTGAACAGACACTTCACAAAGGAAGATACATGAATTGTCAACAAGTATATAAAAAAAAATGTTCAACTTCTCTAGCAATTAGAGAAATGCAAATTAAAACTACATTGAGATGCTGTCTCACTATAGTCAGAATGGCAATTATCAAGAACACAAGCAACAATAAATGTTGGCAAGGATGAGGGGAAAAGGTACACTCATACACTGTTGGTGAGACTGGAATTGGTGCAACCACTCTGAAAAGCAATATGGAGATTCCTCAGAAAACTTGGAATGGAACCACCATTTGACTCAGTTATCCCACTCCTCCATATATATCCAAAAGATTTAAAATCAGCAAACTATAGTGACTCAGCCCCATCAATGTTTATAGCAGCACAATTCACAATAGTTAAGCTATGGAACCAACCTAGGTGCCATTCAATGGATGAATGGATGACGAAAATGTGAGATACACACAGACACACAATGGAGTATTACTCAACTATAAAGGAAAATTATATATGGCATTTGCCAGTAAATGGATGGAACTGGAGAGTATCATGCTAAATATGAATTAAGCCAATTCCAAAAACCAAAGGCTGAATGTTCTCTGTGATATGCAGATGATAAGGGGGTTGTGCAGGAAAGAATAAAAGTTCACTGGATTAGACAAAGGGGAATGAAGGGAAGGGAAGGGAAGGGGATGGGAATAGAAAAGACAGTTGAATGAATCAGACATTAGTTTCCTATGTTCATATATGAATATATCACCAATGAAATTCCACATCAAAAATGGGATCCTAATTAGAATAAGTTATACTCCATGTATGTATAATATGTCAAAATATACTCTACTGTCATGTATATCTAAAAAGAACAAATAAAATTTTTAAGAAGTTTACTAAAAAATAAATTTAAAAAAACTTGAAAAATACCTGACTCTCTCATTCCCTCTTTGTAGTCATTCAGTATTTAGTGTGCTGAACAACTGTTTTGTCATATGACCTTTTACTTTGTTATAATCTCCAGCATTGACAAGTTTCACAAAATGCCTGGTGTAAGTTAGCAGATGCTATGGTGGGAGATAAAAAGAAAAGTTTAATATTGTAGTGATAAAGGAATTGTATGGTTCAATCCATATGATGATTTTAAAATTTTCATTCCTGCTAAATTAGTCAATCAAGTTGGTAACTGATTGATTTGAACAGATGTGTCTCAATTTTGCACTGATGAACTGTTCTGATATGTCATCCCGGCATGCACTATCACCAAAAAAAGCACTGTGCTTAATTTTAGATCAATGCATAAAAAAAGGACTAGAAAAGATATATTAAGAAGGCTCTCCCAAGCTCTCAGGACATTTCATTGGAAGAAGAAACTTAAATTACTTGTCCATACTGTTACAGAGCAGGGGCCTCTTGGGAAGTTGAGGCAGCATGAAGACTGTGCCCCATTTCAAACCCCAATTCTCGCAATCAAGTCAGAAAGATTTTAGACATGTCACTCAGAGTAACAAGCATGAGTTTATTGAAGAGATAGAAAAGAGAAAAGGAACACTCTCAAGGAATAGCGGGTTCTCTTGGAGAAGAGAGGGACAGAGTGCCTCTTCTACACTCCAGTTTTATTAGGAATACCAAAGAAGTTTTCAGAGAGTCCCACCAGGTCTACCTCTTGACTTTTGGGTGACAGCAGGATGACATCAGACTTTCAAGTTCCCACTGCCATGAGAACTCTGTGTCACCTTGGCTCATGCTGATGGGTTCTAATTAGATTCTTAACCATAAATTCTCACAGATTGTATGGTTAGGAGGAATTATCCTTATCTCCCTGAGTTTGGGGATCTGATCTATGAAGAGGGTCACAAAAGTCTCCCCCTCAAGATAACTTGGGTTCCTCTTACATACATTACTTCAGGCCTGCATTTCTCCTGCAGATAAGAAGTAGTTTGCTGAGGAATATAACATAGCTTGCTACTTAAACCAGGCAGTGCTGCAGGTAAATTGCTCTTGGAAAAGAAAGCATGTGAGAGTCATCACAGAGGGCCCATTTTATAGAATTATTCTCTTAACCTCATGTCCCCACCATTCACATCTGTCTGTCCCCTAGCAATATCAGTACTGCTTTCTTTCCATGTTAAAGACTCCCAGGTGCCAGGCACATGCCCATAATCCAAGCAGCTTGGGAGACTGAAACAAGAGTATCATTAAGTTCAAAGCTAGTCTTGCAAAAAGCAAGGCACTACGCAACTCAGGGAGACCCTGTCTCTAAATAAAATACAAAATAGGACTTGGGAGGTGGCTCAGTGGTTGAGTACCCCTGAGTTCAATCCCTGATACAAAAAAAAAAAAGACTACTGGTTATCTTTTAACAAAAGGGACACTTTGGCAATACAGATGATTTTGGAGAGTGAAATTTATCCTTATGTTATCATATTGAAATAATTTTTAACTTTTCCTCAAATGTTACTTCAGTCTTAAACATTACTCTATGAAAATAAAGTGGAAGATACATTTTTTAAAAACCCTTTCTTTTGGTTAAAAACTAGTTACAATAAAGTCATTTGAAAAATAAAGTATTGTGACAGGAAATAACTCTATCTAGACTCATAGAACATTCACACAATAGAGTGCTATGCAACTCTTTCCCTAATGGAAGTGTTAAAACTACTAAAAGGAAGTAATAGAATTTAAATATTCTCCTATTGTGTCCCTAAAACATAAAAGACTTAGGCAATGATCATAAATACTTCAAAGATAAACAACTGGATATTATGTCGCTCCTGATGGAAGTCCACAAAACTCCAATGTGAAGTAGTCTTTTAAAAAAAATTTTTTTTGAGCCCAATCTAATTTGACCCCAAAAATAATTTATAGGAAATACAGGATACAGAAGAAAGTATTAATTATTATTAAACATTACCACAGTTGTAAAAATAACAAAATCAAGATTGTGGGAGCTGGGCAACAGTGGCACACACCTGTAATTACAGCAACTTAAGAGGCTGAGGCAGAAGGAAATTTCAAGTTCAAAGACAGACTGGGCAACTTAGTGAGACTCTGTCACAAGTGAAAAATAAAAAGGGCTAGAAATGTAACTTATTTGTAGGGCATATCTGGGTTAAATCCCCAGTACCACACACACAAAAAAAAAAATTGAGGGGAACCACGTAGTAAAAATGATCCTATCTCCTGCAATGAATAAATTGCAAGGAAAAACAGAGAAAACATATTTTTTATGTTTCTTAGGCACAGTGGCACATGCCTGTTGTCTCAGCCACTTAAGAGCCTGAGGCAGGAGAGTCACTTGAGTTCAGGGATTCTAAGCCACCAACCTAGAGTCCCATTTCAAAACTAAACAAACAGAAACAAAAAATTTTTAAGATTCAAACCATTCAGATATAAAAATTTGGAAAACAGTGGTGTTGGTTGCAAACATTGTAAATACAATTTATACCACTGTTATATACTTAGAAATGGTTGTAATTATAAATTTTGTGTAATATGTATTTTACTACTGTAAAAAAGCTTTAAGTCAAGTCACTTAACATGATTATAAAAATTATTTAGGTCCTTATTTAAATACATCATAAGAAAATAATAAAAAAATTGGAAAAAATTTGAGCACATTAGGAATATCCAATGATAATAAAGAATTATTGTTATTTTTAAATATGTGATAATACTACTGTAATATTTTTAAGTAGACTTCTTATTTTTTAAGTATATTTCATATACTGAAATATGAACAGATAAAATGATATAAGTTTTATCTGGGGTTTTATTTGATCCTGCCTACAACCTAATAAATTAGCCTGTCATTATTTTATGGAGATAGGCAGAATACATGAGACATTTAGAGGAGACACATAGGACTTATTTTTACCAATCATGTATTAAGCAGCACAACCATCAGCATATATGTGTTGCTCCCCCTTGCCCTCAGGTACCATAGAAGCACAGGTGGTCCCAGAGGACGCCTGCACATGTAGTGAATTTGCTTCACAGCTGAGGAACACTGAACTTGGGTAACCCACCAATTTTATAGCAAGCAGTAAGCTTGCTTTTTTTGTCCTGGAGCTAGTGCGAGTATGCAAGGAGGGGAAAACATGTCTCATCTCTTAAGGTTACCAAATACAAAAACCAACCTTGAGAAATTTCCCTGGTAAAAGAACAGCTGGGCTTTGCACTCTTGCTCATCCAGCAAGATATGCAGGAACAAAAGAGGCCCAAGAAAGAGTGTCTCTTCCAACCATACCAGGACGCTGATTTGCTCAATTGAGAGGGGGTATAGGCAAGTCATTGTGAACGTGGGTGAAACAAGTTTAGTCATGAGTTTGATAATTTTTAATGCTGAATCTTGAGTACATTGGTTTCCCTATACTTTTCACTCTATTTCACCCTATTCCACCCTATTCTGTGTATACTTGAAATTTCCCATAATATAATTTCTGTAAAGTTTATTTATTACAAAGTTATTGGGGGAGAAAAAGCTGCTGCTGGGCCCCAACGGGCCCGCGGTGGCTGCTGCCAGCGACCTCACTAGTGAGGAGGAGGAGGGCCAGAGCCTGTGGTCTTCGATCCTGAGTGAAGTGTCCACCCGCGCCAGGTCCAAGCTACCGTCCGGCAAGAACATCCTGGTTTTCGGTGAAGATGGTTCTGGTAAAACAATTCTTATGACTAAACTACAAGGAGCAGAGCATGGCAAAAAAGGAAGAGGCCTAGAGTATCTCTACCTCAGTGTCCATGATGAGGACCGAGATGATCACACGCGTTGCAATGTATGGATTCTGGATGGAGATCTGTACCACAAAGGCCTGTTGAAGTTTGCAGTTTCTGCTGAATCTTTGCCAGAGACCCTGGTCATTTTTGTTGCAGACATGTCTAGACCTTGGACTGTGATGGAATCTTTACAGAAGTGGGCTAGTGTTTTGCGTGAACACATTGATAAAATGAAAATTCCACCAGAAGAAATGAGGGAGCTGGAGCGGAAGTTTGTGAAAGATTTTCAAGACTATATTGAGCCTGAAGAAGGTTGTCAGGGTTCCCCACAGAGAAGAGGGCCTCTGATCTCAGGCTCAGATGAAGAAAATGTTGCCCTGCCTCTAGGTGACAACGTGCTGACTCATAACCTGGGGATCCCAGTGTTGGTGGTGTGCACAAAGTGTGATGCAGTGAGCATCCTGGAGAAGGAACATGATTACAGGGACGAGCACTTGGACTTCATCCAGTCGCACCTGCGGAGGTTCTGCCTCCAGTATGGAGCTGCCTTGATTTACACATCAGTGAAGGAGGAGAAAAATCTTGATTTGTTGTATAAGTACATTGTTCATAAAACATACGGTTTCCACTTTACCACGCCTGCCTTAGTAGTGGAAAAGGATGCAGTATTTATACCTGCAGGTTGGGACAATGAAAAGAAAATAGCTATTTTACATGGAAATTTTACAACCGTGAAGCCAGAAGATGCATATGAGGACTTCATTGTGAAACCTCCTGTGAGAAAGCTGGTCCATGACAAAGAGTTGGCAGCAGAGGATGAGCAGGTGTTCCTGATGAAGCAACAGTCACTCCTTGCCAAGCAGCCGGCTACGCCCACGAGAGCCTCCGAATCCCCTGCGAGAGGACCTTCTGGCTCTCCAAGGACCCAGGGCCGGGGAGGGCCAGCCAGTGTACCAAGTGCCTCCCCAGGAACGTCAGTAAAGAAGCCGGACCCAAACATCAAAAATAATGCAGCCAGTGAAGGGGTGTTGGCCAGCTTCTTCAATAGTCTTCTGAGTAAA